AAGAATAAAAAAAAAATAGTGACTAAAATTAGTGCATTTTCAAACAGTGTAGGTAGGTCTTCTCCATAAAAATGCTTTGACAAGTGAAAAAGTAAACAAGAAACAATTTACAAAAAACCTAGTATTCACAAAATCCTAAAACTGTGATATAAAAATATAATTGATCTATTTGAAATAAAATTAAAAAGAAGACTGTATATAAAACTTAATAATGTGAAAACAGAACAGGGAGATTTTGGGGGGCTTTTGTCCTGTCTTCCCTCCCCTTCTCAAAATCCAAATGCCTTAAAATGTTTTTTTAGTTAGAATAAAAATGAGTATTTAAATGAAAAATAACTAATAAGACACTGGGCTTCACTACTTAGTCTCAACAAGTTTATAAAATATTCCTCATCAAAAAACAGAGTATTTTAAGACTATTAAACATGAGATTCACTAAAGAACGGGAAATGATTTTTCTTGCACAACAGACAGAGGTGGGGGTACAGACACATATGTAATCTCTAAATATCTTAGAAAGGCTGCATGGAAAGGTGTAAAGGGAATAGTTTTTGGAGTCATTCTGAGTTAGATTCAAATTCTGGCTACTCGATTTATCTAGCTTTGCAACCTGGGCAAGCTACTCTGCACCAATTCGTAGTCTTCTCTGTAAGAGAAGGGTGTTGAGGAGACTACCTATAACTAATATTTAGATATAGATATATAGATATGACTTAGCACAAGTAGGAGTTGGGTAAATACAAGTTCCCCCTTTATCATTGGAAAATCATCAACTTACATAGCTACCTGATCAGTGGTATACTGATTCAAAAGCATCTTAAGTCTCCATTGAGGGAAGAAGTGAACCTTTTGGCATGGAAAATATAAAGCTCAAAAAATAAACTTTCCTTCTAATTAGTAACCTCATATTATTTTTTAAAATACATGACTTAAAGATAGTCTTAGCCATATATACACTACCAAATGTAAAATAGATAGCTAGTGGGAAGCAGCTGCATAGTACAGGGACATCAGCTAGGTGCTTTGTGACCACCTAGAGGGGTGGAATAGGGAGAGTGGGAGGGAGGCTCAAGAAGGAGGGGATATAGGGATATATGGGTACATACAGGTGATTCACTTTGTTATACAGAAGAAGCTACCACAATACTGTAAAGCAATTACATTCCAATAAAGATGTAAAAAAAAAAAAAGATAGTCTTGCAAACTACTAGAAAGAAAGAAACAGAAATATTTCTAACTTAACTAGTATTTATTGAGCTCTCAGTGTATGTCAGGTGAGAGAGCTCAGCACTGCTGTAGGTGCTGTGATATAGCCATAAACAAATCAGATGAAGTCCCAGATCCCAAAGAATTTAAATTCTAGTAATAAAACCAGACTAGCATTTTTTTAGATAAACAAGGACTTACTGTATAGCATAGGGAACTATATTCAGTATCTTATAATACCCTATAATGGAAAAGAATCTGAAAAAGAATATATATATGTAAATACATAAACAAAACAGAAAACTGTGTATCACTTTGCTGTACACCTAAAACTAACCCAACACTGTAAATCAACTATTCTTCAATTAAAAACAAGCTAACTAGCATTTTAAAAGAAGGGCAGTCGGGGGAGGGGGGGATTCCAGAGCCCTACCTTATATAACAACTTAAAGCAAAATGCAGTTTTACTTTTTCTGATCCTCTGGGTGATTATTCTTTTGGGAGTCACAGACTCCTCTGAGGAACTAATGAAAACCACAGACTTACTCTAAATCATTAAATAATGTGTATGCACACACATAAATACATTTGCAAAAACTTTTGGGGGATTCACGAACCCCTTTATTAAGAATTCATGCTTAACTCTTTTCTACAGATTTTAATTTTAAAGCTGGGAAAATATCAGTATTGCTTATATTAAGAAGACTGAACATATTCCAGAAAGTTGAACTAAAATACAAAAATTTAGTAAAGCAACTTAAGAAGAGTCCCCTAAATAATGAACTTTCTGAATATATTTTAAATGATTTACTTTGACTTATATCCAACTGAGCTTTTAAAAATACTTTTATTAATCAAAAGATTTTTTTAATATAAGAAAAATGAATAAATCCCTATTTCTAATGGTACTACTTATAGGCATTCACAGCAGAACAATTCTATCTTGGACATAAAGTAGACATTTTAGGAATCTAAATAATCTCTGATTTACTCTGATGAGCATTCATTTTTTTAAAAATATCTGAATAAAAAATTATTTTTGTTATTTAAAAAAATAACACCTCCCAACTCTCTCCTCCTCTGTATTTCTACCATACCTCTGTCTTTCCCATTCTGCAAGTTAACTACATCAGCCCCTGCCACTGTGTACTTCCTGGCAGCATCTTCCGCATGGCACGGATCTAACCAAGCTGAGAAGCATTTATGGAGCACTTCTGTGTCTAACTCACTGCTATCGTAGGTAAAGTTAAGAGCTAAGAATTTAATCAAACCTCTATAAGTTCTTCAGTTTTCTGTTTCTTTTGTACTTTTTAGTACATTTCTTCTACTTGTGATTATGGTTCAACATTTTTCTAAGGTTGTGATTATTCTGAAAGGGTAAAGTAATGTTTCCCAAAATAGGATTCTGGGCTGCAAAAGTGAGTTTTTACAGTAAACAAGGAAGTTTCTCTAATCCACACATCTATCTACTAATGATGAGTTTATACTTATCATCTCTGTGATCATTTCACAACTACTTGACTTCCAGCATCTCTTTAATCTAATATTGCATATGTTTCTAACAGATTAAAATACCAGATACTCCTTTGAGTCTGTCATTCTTATGCTGCAAACACAGGGTGGCTCTACACTCTAAAATACAAAGTTCAAAAGGTGTGTCCAGTCTCTTCACAAATACTTCTGGCATCCTGAATTCTTATTTTTCACCATAGCAATTCTCTGCTCTAGCCAAAACGATGTCCTCTCTTTCAAAGATAGCTTAAACTTTGTTCTTGCCTTGACCATCCATGTGAACTATCATCATCCTCCTTTACTTTCTGCCATTCAAACCATTCTTCAAAACCAATCTTTTCTCTGAAAATCTGACTTCCCAAGCAATTACTGTACAATTCACATGGCAATTAATCACATTCTATATTTTGTCATTTCTTTTTATCCTTTAGTAAATGATGTGAAACCCTTTTATTAATTAATTTGTATGTTTATATCTACACTGCCAGGTGCATTGAGAGTAGGGATGGGGGACCATGCCTTGTTTCATAGTCTCCTCCCATATCAATTCATTACACGGTGGATTGTCAGTGTTTAGTCTTAGAAAGCTTATATATAAAGGTGATTAACTATACATTCCCTTAATTTATAGTCATATAATAATGGTCTTTAAGGCCAGTTTTATATCCTGAGCATCTCTTCTGAGTTTCATGGTTCTGTTGCCTATTTATTCACTGTTTATATAGCTACTATGTATAATAAGTATTTTCTATTTTTTAAAAAAGTTTAAAATTCATCCTTGGTAGATGTTAAACAGAAATTCTGGGTTACAAACTTTTTTTTTTTGGAGTAAAAGCTGCCAATGTTCTTGAGAGACCAAGAAATCCAGCAAGTATATTATGAAATAATTTTTTCAGATTACACACTGGGGTTGCATTTTCAAACACATGAGGGAACAGGAGTACTTACATGGCTAATAATGAATCAATAACTATTTGAGGTCTCATTTCCTCCAAACCTGGTGATGGGTGCTGTGTGGAACCTATAATCTAGCTGAAGAGGTAAGACTCTCTTTACTCTACCTCCCAATTACTACCATCTTTTTAGTTGTATCAACATCCTATCCTCACTTGTTTGGTTTAGGGTTCTTCAAATGCATCACATGACATATCTTTATTTTTAATTTCCACATCTTTGTATAAAATTCTTAATACTTTAAGGGACGTGCCACAAAAGAGTCTCAGAATCACTGCTCCAGGCCAAGGTATAAATTCTGTTATTAGCAATATATAGTATCATTTATTCAACTAACTAAAATGCATTAATTATAAAAATTACCCTTTTTATCAGTATAACTTTTATTGTTAAGAAAAAAGAAATTATATGATATTGCTGTACAATAATGAACCCTGGAAAACAATGCAATTGAGATGATACATAATTTCTACCAGTGGCTGATGTCTCTCTCAAGACCTGCCAAGAGGAGCTAGAGACTTGGAGGGTGAGTCTATTTCTTCTCAACAAGTTTCATTACTATGTTTGGCTCCCTTAAATCTCTGAAGCATACATGTTAAAATTAAGTTGTTCATTTTTAGATGCCCAAAAACTTGAAAACTCATAATCTGTCTCTGATTGAAAACTCATAACTTGTCTATGAGAAGACAGTTAGTTGAATTACTGACTTTGAAATTTAGGGCAGTTTTTTTAAAAAGGACACTGTTTTGCCTGCTCGTACTAGTATTAAAATAAAACAAAAAACTTACACAGGAGCAGCTGATCAGTATTTCTAAGGAAGGTAAAGGGACAAAGAGTTTTGCTCTGATGAAGCACAGCAGGATGGTTATCCCAGTTCAACAGATATACCCACAGCACAACAAGAATGTTAAAAATGAATTATCCTCAGGTGTTCAACTGGGCACAAAGGGGCACTGAAAGGTAAAGGTCTACTCTTTAAAATAATAACATCACTATTGCTAACTTCCAGTGATGCTAACAGCCTGCTGGAGGAGAAATTGACATATTTAAAAGCACATTCTTTGTTTGCCTCAAAATTAATATTTAAGGGAGAAAGAGAAGGAAAGGCAGACATACAGGGAAGAAGTAAGTACAGCCCACACAAAAAGGTATTTGATGCCCATTAAATGAAAACAAACCTATCTACAAAACAGAACTTTATCTCTACCTTCCACTTCAATATATTTCCTTTAATTTTAACTGACTCCTTAAAACGAAAAGCAGTCATAATTTCCAGTATTTGTATTATAAAATTATTTAAAATACTTAAGAAATAAAATAAAGCTTACCCCATCACTTTCTCTATGTGGATTCAGCCTACTATAAACAGCTTCAATAACATTGCGCCTAAAAAGAAATATGCTTTAGTTTTATTAAATTACATACAGTTGTTAAGCTTCTGAGTATTTTAAATAATACTTCATATCTTAACTACACTCAAAAATTAATTGCTTCATTAAATACCTGCCAAGAACATAATATCTGCATTTCACTCAGAACTTGATCCTGCACAATCCATTTGTTCTCATTTACCAAGGAAAGAAGGACCTTCATCCTCAAACAGTATAATAAATAATGCCTTGAAAAGAAAATCTCTTCTCGATGAAATTTTAGAGTTCTTCTCTAGTATAAGAACTATCAACCCATTTCATCTTTAGATAATTGATGTACTTCTTACCAAAAATTATTTAATTACTAACTATAAATGAAGTCAAAATTTGTTCTTTTTCTTCTACTTACTTGCCGGCAAGACCTCCCCCAGGAGGCAAATTTGGGATATTTTCTGCAGACAAGATGCGCATGACATGGGCAAGATCAGGCATTCCTTCCTCACCAGACTTCTCCATAATTTCTGTAGGTTTTTAAAAAGAGTTCCTAAATTAATGTGATAACTCAGAATTCACACAGTGAAACAAGAGGTACTATTTGCTAGTACCTATTTTAAAATATAAAATGCAAATATTACCTTACTATCACAACACAAGGAACAAAAAAAGTAAGATAAAAAGTTATTTGCATATATATACTCATTTTAGCATTATTCATAAAAGCAGAAACTGGAACAAATTAAATGTCCAATAAAAGGACAGTTAAGAAAATTTTGGTATAGCCACTGAGTGAAATGGTTTATAATCAGTAAAAATGATCCCTGTGAGCACAGCACAGCCACATGGAAAAACACTTTTGATCTATTATTTTATGTAAAAATATAAAAGTTATTAATGCTATAATTACAGGAAAACAAAAGCAATGGAAAGATAAGGACTATAAGAAGGGGAAAATTAAAAACTGTTTTATAGGTTTTTTGATACTTAGTTGTGTTCCACAATTTATTTAAAACAGAAAAGGAAAATAAATCTCAGAACTTGCTAATACTTAGAACAAAATAAAACATTTCCATGTTTCACTTATATTTACAATTTATGGAAAACAGATTTTTAAAGCATGATCATTTGGCCAGTATTAAGACATAAAATCCTCAAAAATCAGACAACAGCAAACTTACTTTTAAGACAACAAAAAAGCAGAGTCCTAAGCAGCCCTCAAGATGCAAACTCCAAACAGTTTCCCATGTGTCCCTCACAGGGACTTCACTGTGACCTTGATTTTCACTGCTCCCATTCAACTCTGCTCCGACTCCTACCTGTATCTCCAAAGGTGCTATTCAAAGAAACCTTCTAGATTTTCACATATACTTCCTCCCTTGGTTTGCAACACTTTTTACATCAATCCAACCAGCCTCTTTGTATGGTTAAAGTGTATTTATACTTCAGGTTTCAACTTTATGTGTCACTTTCTCAAATTCTTCTCTGACCCACACCTGGCATAGGTGTATTGCTAGATACTCCAACTGTACATGATATTTACTAGATCACGGACCGCAAGCTTCATGAAGGCAGGACTGTAATTTTTCTATGTTACACTTGTATCTCTACAGTGCAGGGTTTCTCAGCCTCAGCACTACTGATGTTTTTGACAATTTTTTGTTGTGAAGGCTGTCCTATGCATTGCAGAATGTTAAGCAATATCCTGGCCTCACTCACTGGACGCTAGTGGTACCCTCTCAGTCTGAGACCAAAAGTGTCTCCAGACATTGCCACATGTCTCATGAGGGACAAAATCCATCCTCCTCCCCACACCGGCCACTGAGAACCACTGCAGTCTAGCACTTCATCAGCCAATTTTCACAACCCACTGGTGCCCCTGCAGTCCAGTCCTCCACCATCATCTGCCACCTGCTTTAATGCATGATTCCTAATTGGTCTCTTGGCTTCCTCTCTTGTCCACTCTTTACAATCTCTTCTTCACATGGCAACTGAGAGAGATCCTTCTAAAAGTCAGATCAAGGGACTTCCCTGGTGGCACCATGGTTAAGAATCAGCCTGCCAATGCAGGGGACACGGGATCGACCCCTGGTCTGGGAAGATCCCACATGCTGGGAAGCACCTATGCCCATGCGCCACAACTACTGAGCCTGCACTCTAGAGCCCGCGAGCCACAACTACTGAGCCCGCATGCCACAACTACTGAAGCCTGCGCACCTAGAGCCCATGCTCTGCCCCAAGAGAAGCCACTGCAATGAGAAGCACATGCACTGCAAAGAAGAACAGCCCCCCGCATTCCACTAGAGAAAGCCTGCACACAGCAACGAAGACCCAATGCAGCCAAAAATAAATAAATAAATAAAATAAATTTATATAAAAAAAAGGTCAGATCACGTCACTCTCGCACTCTTCCAGTGACTTCCCAGCACCATTTGAATGAAGTCCAAAGACCTAATTTTAGTCTGCAGAGCCCTACATGATCTGCTTCTTAGCAATCTCTCTTCATCTTTCACTTTTCCACCAGCTCATTCTCATCTAGCCACACACTCTAAGCATATTCCCTCCTCAGTCCTTGTTGCTCCCTTTGCTGGAATGTTCCTCCCCAGATAGCCACTCTCTTCCATATATAGGTATCTGCTCAAATGTTTTTCCTCAGAGAACTGCCTAACCAATATTCCTTGTTACTGTCTGCTTACTGTTGTTTTTCTTCTATTAAAAAAAAAAAGGTCTCTACTACATTATAAACTCCATGAGATCAAGAATGTATTTGTTTTGTTTTCTGCTGCATTCCCAGTAACACACATGCACAGGGACAGCTGAAGAAATGAATACATGTAGAAGGTATTCACCAAATATCTAATCAATTTAGGTTAAAGGCTATTCCCTGTTTAACATTATACCTCCCCTCTGCATTCCCAATAAAAACACATACAAAGACTTGCCAATACACAGAATGATTTCACCTCAAAATTTTAATGTCAGATTACATGATCTAAAACCCTAATAGAAATATAATGCTCTTGAACAACGCTACCTTATAAAAAAGAAGTTAGGTACCAAGGCATATTGATTTGTAGTGGCTGCTTTTTCAATGATTTTTAAGTGTTTTTTGATTGAATGATTAATAATCAAGTATCTACCATAGCCCCCAAGACCATATCATATTATTACATATCTGTCATCTTTGCCATATAACATATATTTTGGAAACTTTAAAACTATACAGAAGAAAATTAATATTAAATGTTAACCCACATTGAGCTGAACTGACCACACATTTAAGAAATTAAAATTTAGGGGGCTTCCCTGGTGACACATTGGTTAAGAATCCACCTGCCAATGCAGGGGACATGGGTTCGAGCCCTGGTCTGGAAAGATCCCACATGCCGCGGAGCAAGTGAGCCCGTGCGCCACAACTACTGAGCTGCGCTCTAGAGCCCGCATGCCACAACTATTGAAGCCTGCGCACCTAGAGCCCATGCTCTGCAACAAGAGAAACCACTGCAATGAGAAGCTTGCGTGCTGCAACGAAGACCCAATGCATCCATAAATGAATGAATAATAAACAAACAAATAAACAGAAGAAATTAAAATTTAGCTGTTATAGAAGAGTTTATAAAACCTACAGTTTGCTGAGGACTTAGGCACCGTACCAGGTACTTAAAGTTATCTCATTTATTATTAAAACAAACTGTATGGTTGGTGTTTTTACCTTTAGTTCACAATAAAGAAACTGGAGCCTTAAGAGATTAGGCAAGTTGGTTGAGTCATATAACTAGTAACTGACCAAATTTTAGAGTTCTTCCCCAAATGAAAACTATTTAGTTTCTTCTTTGTGAATGAAGAAATAGGACAATAAGAAAATTCAATAGATAGCTAGTGGGAAGCAGCTGCATAGCACAGGGAGATCAGCTAGGTGCTTTGTGACCACCTAGAGGGGTGGGATAGGGAGGGTGGGAGGGAGGGAGATGCAAGAGGGAAGAAATATGTGAACATATGTATATGTATAACTGATTCACTTTGTTATAAAGCAGAAACTAACACACCATTGTAAAGCAATTATACTCCAATAAAGATGTTTAAAAAAAAAAAAAGAAAGAAAATTCTTCTTGCTTTCTGGTAAATTTGAGCCAGCAATCCCCCACCCAAATACACTAGACCTTTTAGAAAACGTGTATTATTAAAAACTCCTATAAACAGCTCCTCTTAATAATTATGATATTATCAACAGGAATAAGAGTGCCTCTGACATTGTCTTCAAAGTGTTCCCACGTTTCTTATCTTTCCATTACCCTGAAAACAGAACTCACTGACAATTCAGAGCTGAAGAAATTGCAGACCAACAAAAACAAAACCTTTATGCACCTTTGTTTATGGTGTGTGGCTAGATAGCTGTAAAGCTAGAAAAGATACATCTGTCCCCGCTCTCTAAATCTGCAAGAGAAGGTAGTTTTCCTTTGGTAATTACACATTTGAAATTGCAAATTTTTGCATTTCAAAACTATTACCAATTACTATAGCTACTGTTCATCTAAAACATGACTCGTAATAGGACAAATCTGACAAGCTGACTACAACATAATCATTAATTATATCATTCAAGTGTACTATCAAAAAATAATAATAATCAAGCCATAACGGTGTTAGGAAAAAATATAGGTCAATATGTAACACTGAACTCTGCTCAATATTATGTAACAACCTAAATGGGAAAAGAATTTGAAAAAGAATAGATACATGCACATGTGTAACTGAATCACTTTGCTGTAAACCTGAAACTATCACAACATTGTTAATCAACTATACTCCAATATAAAATAAAAAGTTAAAAATATATAAAACAAAATTTTACATTTTGTTCAAAAAAAAAAATGTAACCCTGAATTGAGGAAAGAACTTTGTTAAGAATGATATCAAGGCAAAATAAATAAATAAAACTGACATAATATAACTTCATAAAAAGTAATTTTATATCTAAAAAGCAGCACATATAAAATCAAAATGAAGTATTAAGTTGGAGATCCTGTCACAGACTCTAACATGTATTCTCTATCAGGGTAACCACTAAATGAATATTTAAAAGGTTGTATAACTGATAAGCAAATGCAGGGATGAAATGGAATGGAAAATACTGATTAACCCAAAAGGGACGGAAGGAGAAAAAGGGAAAAAGAACAGATGGAACATATGTAAACAAGTAAGATAACAGATTTAAACCCAAACAAATTAGCAAATTACGTTGAAGATAGAGACTAGGTTTTCCTCTCCCTCATTCCTGAATAATAATTTATTTTTAGTCCAAAAGCTGCAGGAAATTTTAAAAGAACTATTTGATAAACAAGGAATAATAATCTTCCTTTCCTTCTAAATAATAATAAAAAAAAAGCATCTGTCTTACCTTCCACCCGTGATTCCAAGTACTTATCCAACTCTGAGTCTTTTCTCATTGCTTCATCTGAGACCTTGGGGGCATTTGAAAAGCAAACTAGTACAATACTCATGTTATCTCGACTTCCCTGTATATTAAAAAAAAGAAAAAGAAAAATTATACTTCAATAGTCTACCAACTTTCTATTATTTACTTCAAAACAGATTTAATTACAATAAGCAATTACTTATTTAATCATCTAGAATGTACACCTTCAACACATTCATTTTCATTCCAAAGAACTATTTGAAGCACACCCTGAAGAAACAAGGACTCCAGGTATGCATAGATCATAATTTTATGACTTTTGATTCCGTGTACCTTTTCTTATCCACCACCATTCCACAACCTGAGAAATGAAGATATCTTCACATATATTAAATCTTCTAAAAACTTTGTTTCCCACTCAAGATTGCATATTCCCAAAGTGACTTAAGCCCCAAATGCATCCTCCCAAAGAAATATACATTATTTTCCTAGCTAATTAACCTGCATCAGAGCAGTGCTACTGAAACTCTATTGAACTGACTTGGCTGAAAATTGTTGATCATTAGGATACCCAAGACACTAAAATGAACAAGCAGAGAAGAAAAGTTAAACTGGAAACTCTTCTGAGGGTACACTATCAAACAATCAAACTGAGATACACTGTAGTCAGATGTAATAACTTTTGAAGAAATGACATCAGACTGTTACACAGAATTACAGTGTAAGGATTTGTAGAGAGTAGCTAAAACTGCTAATTTAAGGACAAATTTTACTGCTGCCTTTTTAATCACACCATCAAAAAAGGAAAAGGAAACAATATATAGTACTCTATTACCGTGAGACTATAAGCAATAAATTTAAAACATTTTCTCACTAGTTTTCTTATAGATATATTACTTTTATTGAGTTTTTTTTTAGAACAGAATGAAACTGTTCTTGGAATAGTGATTTTTTTAACTCCTTTTTTTTTTTTTGCGGTACATGGGCCTCTCACTGCTGGGGCCTCTCCCGTTGTGGAGCACAGGCTCCGGACGCAGGCTCAGCGGCCATGACTCATGGGCCCAGCCGCTCTGTGGCATGTGGGATCTTCCTGGACTGGGGCACGAACCCGTGTCCCCTGCATCGGCAGGCGGACTCTCAACCACTGTGCCACCAGGGAAGCCCATTAACTCCCTTTTTAAAATTTTATTCACCACTCTAAGAAACTAAGTCAATGGCGGTGGGATTTGCCAACCCAAGTGAAAAGAGCCAAGGGCACACCCATGCTAGTCTAGTCTTTTCAGTCATCATGGCCAGAATCTAGGCAGGCATTGTTTGGTTAAGACTTGCCACCTTTTTGGGACCCACATGACATAGCCAAAGATAGGCCGGTCTTGAAAAACTTCTGCCACAATCTCCTAAAACTCAGTGGAGCAAAGTTTGAAGGCACTAAAGGCTGGGTCTTAAGAAGGCTTCAAAAAGAATAACCCTCTGCACAGAATTCTGATGCTTTAGTAGAAAGAATCATGATGAGTATATAACCCAGTTCTCAATATCTGGAAAAAGAATTAGGATTTCCAAATTGGCCCAAAAGAATTTTACTCCTTAATGAAACCCACCAAAACTTGCATAATGACTTAATATTAGAAATACTACACTGGCTATATGAAAAAAAAAAAAAAAAATATATATATATATATATATATGAAGATATACACACACATATCCCACATATAAACCCTATGGTTCCAAACAGCAATACATTCCACAGGAATCAGGATTTACCATATAAATTCAGGTCAGGCAAAATCTTTATACCACAGATATTCAAGAATCAAGCATCACTTGAATACCAATGATTATTTTTTAAAGCAATTTCATGAATAAACAGAATTCACACCTTACATTTTTAGAAATCCAGTTTCTTCTAACCATTCTCTATTTTGTTAACAACAGCATGATTGTTTAGCCATTCCTAATCAATCTATCTATCTATATAGTTTCCATTAGATTTTTATAAGTTATAAAACAAACATCTTATCATTTGGAAAACTAACTAAAAGATAGTTTCAAGAAGTTTAAGTACCCAAAGATATTTAAAGGAAATAATTTAGATGTTAGGTGTTAACCTTGGCACGTGTGATTTCAATGATGGTGTTTCTATTTCTACATAAAGAGGATTTTCCCCTAAACACAAAGTATGAGTGTGTTTCAGTAATTTTTATACAGCAATTGAAAAAGATACTTCCCTTTATGCCTCTTCAGTTTTCTAGAGATAAATCATCCTTGCATATTCAGTATAAATTTTCTGCAAATTCCAGAATTGAAATGTGATTCAAAAAAAAAAATCAAGTTGAACAACTAAGGCAATTAGCCAGATGTTTAAAACTAATTATTTCAGCCCCTTTTCATTTTTTAATTTTGACAATAGCACAGCAGTAGCACTCTAAGGAATGAGAGCTTTAATAGACAGTTATAGATCAAAGTAGCCAGTGCCCCTGCTATAAGTAAGGGTATCTAAAATTAATCATTAAATAATTTGATGCTGTTAGCTTTAAAGATGAATGCTGCATGGTTACAAAGAAGTGTTCTGGATCAAGTCTTTACACAGCATATGAAATAGGTTGTGAACAGAATCTCTAACACTACCAAAGTTAGTAAATGAGTATCTGATAAGTGAACCATAAATATTCCTCATTTTTTAAATCAAATTTTTTAACCTGCAGCTCACTGCAGTTATCTCATTTACACAGAGCTCAAAAACCAGCCAAACTTAAGGAATAGCCCAAATTTTCAGCCATCCATGAAAGATGCATCCTATCATCACTTCCTTTCAAGAATACTCAATTCTCCCACCATTTCTTTATTGCTTGAACCTCTATTTCCCTTCATACAAATCTACCTCCGTTTCATAACCATCATCAATAGAACTAAAATTTATTGAGGACTGTAAACCAGATACTGTTCATGCACTTGCCAAAAGCTTTACTCTCAGCAACTCCATGAAGAAGATATTATTACCTCTATTTTATAAGATGAACAAACCCAGGCTTTGCACTAAGTGGCAGAGCATAATTCAAATCCCAGCTGTCTGGTTCTAATACCAAACCCGTGGTTCTAAACAGTGTGCCAAGAAGCCCCAGGATGCCACAGTGCACTCAGAGATATTTTAAATGCAGGAGGGGGAAGGGGACGACACAGTGATACTCAACATCTGTGGACACCTCACAAACTAGCTCAAGGTAGTTCACACTTTTAACATTAGACAGCACTATATTCCTCTCAATAACATCCTATTTTTCCAAAGCTGGGGTTCTGGGAGTTACTGTGATTAAAAAGCAAGTCCTCATAAAAGTCAATGTGATACAGGAAACAAGTGTGACAGTGCCTAATGATTCCAAGGTTTGAGAAGTTGTGCATTGTCCAACAGGTGCACACATGTCATCAGTATGTAACTGTAGTTTTTAAAAGAATGAAATAAAACATTTTTTCAATGTATGAGTATTATTTGTTAATTATTTTGTATACTCATTAAGTTTGGCTCTAACTACTTAATACTCGTAACTATTAGGTATTAATACGGCTAAGTAGCACTGTAAAAAAACTTACTGAGATACTCAAGACACCATCAACAAAGAAAGTTGGGGGATTTCTACACTACATATACTGTATTTTTACATCCTTCTCTTCCATACTTCAAAAAACCCAGCCACACCCCACTCTAATATTATCTATGTCTACTTTTAAAGTAGCATTATTTATGATCATATTTTCTGAAAACTATAATGGTAAAACTCCTGAGTTCAGGGCTAAACAATTATTTTGGGGGTATACAATTTAAGTACATTTTCCATGTTTTATCAATAATTTGGATTGATATTGCCTTTGGAAAATGTTATTAATTTCCCCTAACTTAATCCAACTATCAGGTATTATATCTCATGTTTCAAAATAAATAAGCTTCTAATAGGTGATACATAAATTGAATTAAGGGAAATCAAATTGTTATTTTTAAAAAATAACTTAAAGGAATATTGACTTTTATGATTTAAGAAAAACAAAGCAGGTGGCAAAGTAACATGCATAACATGATCCATTTCTGTAAAAAGCAAAAAACAAAAAAAGGAAAGAAGAGGCCCTGAACCAAGATGGCAGAGCAGAAGGACGTGCTCTCACTCCTTCTTGCGAGAACACCAGAATCACAACTAGCTGCTGGACAATCATCAACAGGAAGATACTGGAACTCACCAAAAAAGATACCCCACATCCAAAGACAAAGGAAAAGCCACAGTGAGATGGTAGGAAGGGCGCAACACAGTAAAATCAAATCCCACAACCACTGGGTGGGTGACTCACAGACTGGAGAACACTTATACCACAGAAGTCCACCCACTGGAGTGAAGGTTCTGAGCCCCACGTCAGGCTTTCCAACCTGGGGATCTGGCAACAGGAAGAGGAATTCCTAGAGAATCAGACTTCGAAGGCTAGTGGGATTTGATTGCAGGACATCAACAGGACTGGGGGAAACAGAGACTCCACTCTTGGAGGGCACACACAAAGTAGTTTGTGCATCGAGACCCAGTGGAAGGAGCAGTGACCCCAGGGGAGACTGAACCAGACCTACCTGCTAGTGGGTCTCCTGCAGAGGCGGGGGTGGCTGTGGCTCACTGTGGGGACAAGGACACTGCCAGCATAAGTTCTGGGAAGTACTCCTGGATGTGAGCCCTCCCAGAGTCAGTCATTAGCCCCACCAAAGAGCCCAGGTAGGCTCCAGTGTTGGGTTGCCTCCGGCCAAACAACCAACATGGAGGCAACCCAGCTCCACCCAACAGCAGTCAAACAGATGAAAGTTTTACTGAGCTCTGCCCACCAGAGCAACAGTCAGCTCTACCCACCACCAGTCCCTCCCATCAGGAAACATGTACAAGCCTCTTAGATAGCCTCATCCACCAGAGGGCAGACAGCAGAAGCAAGAAGAACTACAATCCTGCACCGTGTGGAACAAAAACCACATTCACAGAAAGATAGACAAGATGAAAAGACAGAGGGCTAAGTACCAGATGAAGGAACAAGATAAAACCCCAGAAAAACAACTAAATGAAGTGGAGATAGGCAACCTTC